GCATAGCTCATTGATTAGGAGGCTGTGCTCTATCTATGAATGAGTCAAGTTCTCATTAAACCCAAATCATGACCAAAGTAAGCAAAAATTTAAAACCTAAAAAACCATCCCCACCACCTAAATATTTTAATATATCTTTTACAAATATTCGCGGTCTACGAAGCATCTTTCCATCAGTTGAGTCTTACCTCCTGCAAAATTCACCAGACTTGCTTGCACTCAGTGAAACAAATTTAAGTTCTGCAATTCCTTCTTCAGATGTCAGTGTTGATGGGTACTATCCTTTGATTCGTAAAGACTCCAATAGTCACATGCTAGGTTTAGGGGTTTACATACGCATTAATTCCCCTATTTGTTGTGAAATCAGGTTCGAATCCTTTGACCATTCTTTTATGTGCTTTCGCCTAGCACCTCTTCACTCTATCACCTTTCTCTTCGTTCTTTATCGTTCTCCTTCTTCCCATGATTGCACTCTTTTAGATGTTATCTCTGATCAAATTGACCATGCCCTCTCTCTTTACCCCTCTGCCAATATTATTGTTGTTGGTGATTTTAATGCCCATCACACTGAATGGCTTGGCTCTAACACCACTGATCCTGCTGGCACTAAAGCCTTTAACTTCTGCGTTTCTCAATCTCTTACTCAGATAGTTAACTTTGTGACTCGTTTTCCTGACAACCCTAATCATTTACCTTCACTCCTTGACTTATGTCTTGTCTCTGACCCTAGCTTATGTTCAGTTTCTCCCTTTTCTCCCTTAGGTGGTTCTGACCATGCAATGATCTCTATAAATCTTTCTTCTCGTACTTCTTTTTTGGGCTCACCTTATCATCGCACCACCTACTACTACCCTAAAGCTGACTGGGATTCCTTTCGTGATTTTCTTCGTGATGGTCCTTGGGCTGATGTTTTTTCTCTCACAGCTGACAAATGCGCCTCCTACGTAACCTCCTGGATTCAGGCTGGAATGGAAGCTTTTATTCCTTCTCGTCGGTTTCAAGTCAAGCCTCATTCTACTCCATGGTTTTCTCCTTCTTGTGCGGCTGCTATATCCAATCGTAACCATTTTTTTCATCTTTTTCAAAAGAACAGCTCTCTTGAGAACAAACGGCTATTTATTATTGCAAGAAATCAATGTAAAAAGGTACTTTCTGATGCTAAACTCCATTATTCTCAGTTCACTAAATCTCGCATCTTATCGCAGAAGTTAGGCTCTAAAAACTTTTGGAAAATCTTCAACAACATTGTTAACAAGGGTAGATCTAACATTCCATCTCTCATTCATGGGACTGATCTTGTTACCTCTCCCAGGGATAAGGCAGAACTGTTTGCAAAGATCTTTTCTTCTAATTCCACTCTTGAATCTTATGGACATTCTCTTCCTTCCATTCCAGTCAAACAGGTTGACCCATTGTTAGACATTCAAATCACTCCGGCTTCTGTTGCTAAAGTCATATCTCAATTAAACTCGTCTACAGCTTGTGGTCCAGACAACATTCCTGTCACAGTCTTGCAGAATTGTTCTCCAGAACTTTCTTCAATTCTCTCTAAACTATTTAACAAGTGTTTGACTGAGTCTTGTTTTCCTGCTTGTTGGAAAATGGCATCTGTGGTTCCAATATTCAAAAACTCTGGAGAAAATTCTGACCCCTCCAATTATCGTCCGATCAGTCTTCTTTCTGTTATTAGCAAGGTCTTTGAGTCTTTGATCAACAAATTCCTCACATCTCATCTTGAGTCAAATAAACTGCTGTCAGACAATCAATACGGTTTTCGATCCTCTCGCTCTACGGCCGACTTGCTAACTGCTGTAACTGAAAGATTTTATCGTGCATTAGATGGAGGCGGTGAGGCTAGGTCTATTACTCTCGACATATCTAAAGCTTTCGACAAAGTTTGGCATGCTGGTCTTCTCCATAAGCTTGCTTCATATGGTGTTTCTGGGAAAGTTTTTGAGATTATCAAATCATTTCTTTCTAACCGGTTTATTAAAGTCATCCTTGAAGGCCAACACTCTTCTTTATTTCCAGTAACTTCTGGGGTTCCCCAAGGTTCCATCCTGGGCCCTGTTTTGTTTCTTATCTACATAAACGATCTTCCTGACAACCTTTCATCTAAAGTAGCTCTTTTTGCTGATGACTCAACTTTATACTCCTGTCTTGACAAAAAGTCTTCTCTTTTCGATCGCCTAGAACAAGCAGCTGATCTTGAATCTGATCTCACTTCAGTAATAGATTGGGGTTCACAGTGGCTTGTGAATTTCAACTCTAAAAAAACCCAATTGCTTACTGCAAACAACTACCGTAGTATGGTCAACATTCCTATATTAATGAATGGCAATCCTCTTACTGAGTCGTCCTTTTTACGTCTTCTTGGATTATCGCTTACTACTGACCTTTCATGGAAACCATATATACAATCGATTGCTAAATTAGCTTCTGCTAAGGTTGCTTCTCTTTATCGTGCTCGCCATTTCCTTACTTCTGATTCCATTCTCTACCTCTACAAATCTCTTATTCGTCCCTGTATGGAATACTGTTGTCATATTTGGGCTGGTTCTTCTAACGATTCACTTTCTCTTCTTGACAAGGTCCAAAAACGCATTGTAAATGTTTTTGGACCTGGACTATCTGCTAAGCTTGAACCTCTTTCCCATCGTCGTAAAGTTGCATCTCTTTCTCTTTTCTACAGATACTATCATGGTCACTGCTCAAAGGAGTTATCATCTCTAGTTCCATCAACTAAAATTCATTCTCGTTTTACTCGTCATTCAGCTAAGTCTCATTCGTTTACTGTATCTGTCCCTGCATGCTCTAAAAACTTTTATTCATCTAGTTTTTTTCCCCGCACTTCAATCCTTTGGAACTCTCTCCCATCTTCATGTTTTCCTGACTCCTACAACCTTCAACTTTTCAAGTCTTCTGTCAACCGTTTCCTTGCTCTATAACTCTGTTCTTTTTTTTTCCTAGTAACTCCCAACTTAATAGTGGTTGCTTGCAGCCTTGTTGGGAGTGAATGCAAATAAAAAAAAAAAAAATACAGCAATCTTATTATTACAGGTGACTTCAACTGTAATACTATAGATTGGTCTGACAATGATTGTCCTTTTTAAGCAACTGATAATGAATCTCAAACTAATAAATTTATTGAATGTCTTGAAGATTATTTTCTGTTTCAATGTGTATGTGAGCCAACATTCCAAATAGCAAACTACAAATCAACAAATATTCTAGACCTTATTATTACAAACGATAAAAACAAAATAGTTTCTATAACTCACTCAGCTTCTTTAGGAAATGTCAAACAGGGTCATCATTTATTAAAGTGTTGTTATCTAATGAATAATTATGAGTCTTCTAACGAACATAAGAAATCCATTAGATTATATCAAAAAGGAAATTATGAATTATTTTCTCGTCATTTCAATAATGTAGATTGGGAAAATGGGTTTAAAAGTAAATCTATAAATGAAATGTATGATTTATTTTTGTATCATTACAATTATGCAACCAATCTGTTTATCCCAAAAGTTTATTATCAAAATAGAAGGAACAGAAACAAATGGATTACTGCTGAATTGAAACATAAAATAAAAACTAAAAACAATATATGGCTTGCTAATAAATGGCTGGAATGAAGAATCAACAAAAACTCAGTATAATAAGCTAAAAGTTAGAATAAAGAATGATATTAAGAACAATATAAAACAATTAGAAAGTACTATAGCTTTTGTTTATCCTTATGTTTTAAAAGAATGCAGCTTGTCAATATCATACCCATTATATTTAGTTTTCTTAAAATCGATAGAAACAGGTACCCTACCAAATATGTGGAAGAAGGCATTGAAATCATTGATATTAAATAAAATCAAACAATGAACTCTATTTACTGATCCTGCAGCTAACATTAGAGGAGCAAAACATTAAATGAAACCTAAATTGGTCAGAAATTGTTTGAATAGGCAATATTTTTTCAGCAAAAGTTGTTAGATGGAATAGTCTACCAGCCAAAGTTGTTCAATCTACCACAGTTAAAAGCTTCAAATTAAATTTGCAATCGGTCGACTTAGAAGCAATAATAAACGAGATAAAAACCAAGAAAGCTTATTATTAACGTTTTTATTATTTAGTGACTGAACTAACTTGTTCATTAATTAATTTATACCGGCTGTCATAGCCTGGCGCTTTATCTCAACAGCATTAATTAAATAAATAATTAATAAAAAATATATATATTTTAAAGTTTATTTTTTGAAGAATAAATTTTTTACTAAATTAAAGGATAAAATTTACTAATTTATGATTTGTAACATATTTATAAACAAACATATAAACAAATAAACTTGTGTTATGATTTTAATGTTAAGTTTGATGTGTTATTAGATAAAACCCCATGCTTTGGATATTTTCCATGCTTTACATCCATGCTTTGGATATTTTCCATGCTTTACATCCATGCTTTTAACATTTTCCCCATATTTTTTGACACTTTGCAGACTTGTTGACATTTTGCAACTTCAAAACACAAAAAAATGTTGCAACAGATTATTAAACTTTTTTTTAATAAAAATAGAGTAAAATGCAAAGTTAAAATAAGTTGAAATGCAAAATAAAAATAAAATAATTTAACTACTATTATTAATATTTTTTTTGCTTAACCTTTCAATATCATTTCATGTCATAAATGTTTGGTACATTATTATTCATCATTATTGTTGACATACATAAAATTTCTTTTTATTTCAAGATTATAAAGAGAAAAATTCCTTCTCTCAATTTTTTCTTTTTTCTTTTGAATAGATAAAATTTCATAAAATTTTAATGTTATCTTTTTTTTTTAAATTACTCTCCAGCTATATAAAAAATACGTTATGTTTAAAAAACATGTTATGTTTAAAAAACATGTTATGGTTTAAAAAACATGTTATGGTTTAAAAAATATGTTATGGTTTAAAAAAACATGTTATGGTTTCATTTTATGGTTTCATGTTATGCTTTAGGGCCGAACTGTTTATTTCAATCCTAATGCAAATGTTTCCTTAAATGCATCAAAAGGTGAAGGTGGTGAAGAAGAAGGGGAAGAAGAAATTTCAGATGATGATGAAATTCCAATTGAAATTGGGCCAAGTCTTTTAACATCTGTTTCTGAAGATAAAGGTTTATTGTTTCAAATAAGTGAATTGTTGTATTAAAATAATTTAAAAAAGTTTCAAGCAACAGCAAAAGTTTTTAGAAATTGTTATTCGTTTTTTTTTTATATGATTTTTTTTGTAATTAACAGGAATTAATTTGATCCCTCCTTGGAGTGCATCAAAATCAGGTACTTTATTCCAACAATATGCAATTGCTGTTATGCGCTCAAATATTTGGCCTGGTGCTTATTCCTTTGCTGTTGATAAGTAAGTTTTTGATGTTGATAAGTAAACTTCTTCTTTCATATTAAAATGTTGAAAAGTTTTACTTTTGAAAACATGTTTGTATTATTAAATATACAAGAAAAATAATTTTATGTTTTGGCATTATTAAGTTGAAAAATCAAGTTTTGTAAAAGAATAAAAACATTTTAAATAAACTTAGATTTATTATTAATAGAAATATATTAAAAATCCATAACATTAAATATAAATAGGGATTGTGACCATAAATTTAAAAAACGGAATTCATTTTTAAAAAAATCGGTTCTGAAATGTCCTAAATTGTTGTAATTTGTTTATAATATCCTGAAGTTTTGACATATTTTAATATGCATTGGCTATAATCACAGCAAAACAATCACATCAAAACAAGATTTTTTTTGGTGTGATTAGGTAGTTATTATCAAATGTACTTTGTGTAAGTTCAAGGGGTGAGTTGATTAATTGTGTATTGCGATATCTGGAAATATTTCTAGGCTCTTAAATTCTCATTTTTTATCATTCTCATTAAAAGCAGTGAACACTGTTATAATGAAAAGTTATTTTATCATATAAGTTAATTTAACATATTAGAAAAATTGATAGAAAAATAAGACAATAAATTTATGACTGCAAAAATAGTTCAAGTTATGTTAAATTCATTTTTAAGCAAAGTTCTGAAACAAAAATTATTATTAATAAAGTAGTTGAAGAATTTGTTGACATTGACTGTAAAGTTTTTAACAACTGGCTCGAACTTACTCTATTGACATTGCTTTAGCAGCTTGTAGAGTAATAATTGCAAAATTTTTCAAGATATTATTTGTAATACAATAGTTAACAATAATAGTAAAAAAATTGTGCATTATTGGCGATATAAATTTAAATTCCTTAACTTATGAAAAAAGTTCAAAAACAAATCTTTCTATGATATGCTGTTAAAATATAATATATATCTGGTTATTAATAAACCAACTTTGGTAACTAAAAGTTCAGCAACTGCAATAGACAATATTTTTATAAACCACTTTTAGAAGCGTCATTTGAAACATGAATTTTTTAAATAGACGTTAATGACCATTTTCTTATCTACATTAAAATTAACCTTAAAATAACTTTGACTACTCCTCCAAAGAAAGTTAATTTAAAAGAGCCCAATCTATCAACGTTAAATACTAATAACTTCTCACATAACCTATTTGAAGAAAAATGGGATCTATGAATGTCATAATACTAATGAAGCATGTAATGCCTTTTTCAATAAGTTTATATATATATATATATATATATATATATATATATATATATATATATATATATATATATATATATATATATATATATATATATATATACATATATATATATATATATATATATATATATATATATATATATATATATATATATATATATATATATATATATATATATATATATATATATATATATATATATATATATATATATATATATATATATATATATATATATATACAATTAAACATTTCCATATAAAAATAATAAAAACGAAGACAAAAACAATTACTAACCCTTGGATGAACAAAACTCTGGTAAAATGTTTGAAAAAAAAAAAAAAAACTGTATAACAAATTTCTCAAAAATAGGAGTATTAAAAACGAAAAAAAAAAAACATAAACTATAAATACTTTTATCAATGCTTACTCAAAAATGCAAGAAAATAATTTTATAGTAAAAAAATTACTGAATGTAAATTTGATATAAAAAACTATGGAATGTAATTAGCAATATAATGGGTCATCACTTCCTTTCAATAATATTCACTGCCCTATGCAAATCTCAAAAGAGTTTAACAAATACTCTTCTAATGTTGTCTAAATTTAGCTAGTAAAATTGTACCTACAGTTAATTCATTTAATTTCTAAGTTTATCTAAAAATAGTTTATTATTTGACAGCAAATTAATGGTAAACCTTAGTTTTATATTCTTAAACTTTCAATAAACAAAGGCATATTTCGTGATACATTAAAAGTTTACCCATTTTATAAAGGCAATGGTCCAATATCTCAAATTATAGACCTATCAGTATTATCTATTTTCTCAAAAATATTTGAATGAGTAATGTATAATAGAATTTATGACTATTTTGCAAAAACAAACTTTTTTTACCCCAAACAGTTTGGTAAAAAAAGTTTGTCAGTTCCAGAAAAATACTATAACTGAGCGTGCAATTATTGAGTTAAAAAAAAATTAGTTCACACTTGGAATATTTATAGATCTGTCAAAAGCATTTGACACAGTCGATCACTCCATACTTTTAGAAAATTTAACTTACTATGGTGTAACATATACATTTGCTGACATTTGTACTTATTTGCATCATATCTTTGGTATAAAAGATATTCTAGATATTTAGAAATGTATTGTGATATCTCATTCATATTGTTAAGTTAGCTCTCATATTATAAAGTGGAAAATAATTTAACAATGCACAATAAAGTTAAATAATAATTAGAAAATAATGCACAATAAAATTAGAAATTAAATTAATAATGGAAGCCAAAGTAATCAATAATGCAAATTTTAAGCTATCCACCCCAATGAAGGAATCAAACATGCAGTCAGCAAAAGTGACCAACATGTTGACTTCAAAAAATGAGAAATTGACTGAAACATCTAAGAAGCCTCTTGAGTTGAAAAAAAAACTACAGGAAACAGATTGTTTGAAACCACCTGAAAAAAGAATCAAACATATTAAGATGTAAGCTTATTTTTTTTAGCTGAATTGATTCCTCCAAAACTTATTATCTACAACATATTTTTTGCTTGTCATTTTGATGGAGGTTTTTGTTCTTTAAGAAGACCAACATAATGCAATAAATTTTAGTTTTATTTTTCGTTCTTGAGTTTTGTGAAAATTGTGTAATGATTTACTGTTGATTTTAATTTTTGTTTCTTGTGTCAAATGCTTAATAAATAATTGTTTTGATCTTCTTGTTTCATACAAAATATAAGTAAAATAGGTGAGGTATAGACTGGTGTAGTAGAGGAGAAGCCAGTTTTAAATAAAAACTGCTTTATGTAATTTAAATAATGTCCTGAAATTGATCTGATGTTCTAAAAAATTATTTTCTTGAAATTCAAAAAAACTATGTGGGAGGTCTGCAATTTTCACCAAAAAACTTACAGAAGATACATAGATGACATTCTTGCTAAATTCGACTCAGTACAAAATCTTGATAAGTTTCTGCAATTATTAAACAAATAAGATCCAGCAATAGAACACCAAAAAAAGAAAATAATAAAGATTTAAATCTTCAATATAATTGTATATATCTCATGCCATTAAAATTTGTTCTGCAAAGTATCTTATTGATGAAACACAGTTTTTAGTAGACATGTTTGCAGAAAATGGACACAATTGATCGAAACTCAAAATAATTGCCAAGAACTATATTCAGAAATTAAAAAAACCTTCCCAATATAAATAAAAATAAAACAGAAACAAATAAATAATCAGTTAAAGTTCTATGGCTTCCAAAATTAGGTCCAAAATTCAGAAAAGAACTTGAACCTCATAATGTCAGAATAATTTTTACTACACATTCTGTGCTAAAAAATATATCATGCAGTAAAAAATGACAAAATTAATTCCTAATCTCAGTGTCTACAAATCCAGAAAAGAAAAAAGAAAGCTCTTACAAGATGCATTAAATATCAATAAGACTATTTAAAAGGTAAGTGGGATACATCTAGGGCAACTGAACATGGTCGAAAATGTAATTGTATGTTTGATAGGTCACATCCCAAAACGCATGCAATTAAATCAAAGTATGAAGAACATAGGAGAGAATCGCTAAATTGTCATTGTGCCTAGAGGTTACTTTATTGTGGTTTCAACCCACTCAACTCTTTAACTCTAAAACATAATGAATTGGTGACTAAGGGTTCTGCACAGAGAAACAAGGTGAGCACGGTACTACCAAGAATTTTGTAGGAATTGAACTTGGAGCTTCTTGCTTATGAAGCAAGCGCTCTACTACTACACCACTACTGCATTTTTTTATTATTTTATTTTATTATTTTGTTTTATTATTTATATATTTTCTATCTTTAAGTTGTTATTTAATCATTTATGGCTTCTTTTTAATGTTTTTGACATTTTTATGTAATATTTGTAACAGTTTTTGTTATTTTATTTTATGTGTTTGCTTCTTTTACTAAACCACAGATATGTATATATCTCTTAGGGTTGTCATATTATAACTTTTTATGAATAATTAATTTCCTGTGTCATAAATTGATGAACTTTTGCTCAAAAATAATGAAAATGGGTTTTATTCTGATTAATTTTTAGAAAAGCTCACCCACAACACTAAATTTTAAACACTCACAACACTCAATTTTAAAAATGATATATATAAGTAGTACTTGCAGGCTGACTTTCTGAAGCCTACTTGCAGGCTGACTTTCTGAAGCCTACTTGCAGGCTGACTTTCTGAAGCCTACTTGCAGGCTGACTTTCTAAAGCCTACTTGCAGGCTGACTTTCTGAAGCCTACTTGCAGGCTGATTTTCTAAAGCCTACTTGCAGGCTGACTTTCTCAAGCCTACTTGCAGGCTGACTTTCTAAAGCCTACTGAAGTAGTTTTTGCATTATGACTTTCTGAAGCCTAGAATTTTTTTGAAAGCAATTAGCAACTTTAACTTCTGAATCACGGTCTGAGTCAGAATATTAGGAGTCTGAAGATTCAGAAGAACATTCCCTAAGTACCAGCAAGAACTACAGTAATACCAAAACTGCAACCAATTTAGTATCATCTTCAAAGTTATTAACCAGCAAAGCAGCATCCATTTGTCAACAGTTATCTCAAGAAGGGATCAACATTCAGACACCATCATAAACTATTATATTCAGATCAATTATTAAACAAGCTGTTAAACTTAGCAAAGAAATTAAGAAAATACTACCTTTAGAAAGCCACTGCACTTTGATGGTAAACGTATGAAGTATGATTCTTGAAG